GACCCGGGTTCCCTGCGGGGGGCCTGGCTCCGGAAGAGGAGAAGTGGAGGGACTGACGGATGGACAGGTGGATGGGCGGAGCCCTGGCTGCGGGGATGGCGGTTCCAGGCCCTGGGTCTTAATCCGTCCGCTCCTCAGGTCTGCAACCGCCGCCACCGCCCCCCCTGCCGCTCCGGCTGGGGAGGGAGGCCCCCCTGCGCCCCCTCCAAACCTCACCAGTAATCGGAGACTGCAGCAGACCCAGGCCCAGGTGGATGAGGTGAGTGTGACGGGTGTCGGAGGCGGTGGGAGCGCCCTGCGGGTTGGCAGACGGGTATGGGGAGGGTATGGGGAACCGCCTTGGGTTGGGGTGATGACCGTTCAGGGCTGTGGGTCTGGAGACAAAGACATAGTGGCTGCCCTGTCAGGACGCGCTCAGATGGGCGCTGGGTGTTAATCAGCCTTGCTAACCTGGGGCGTGCCAGCCGGGGCAGGTGTGCCCTGGTGATGGACAGGAACCGAGGCTCCACAGAGGGTGTTGCTATGACATGTCAGATGTCTGGCTACAGCACGCCCCTGATGTGTGCTCCTTGCATGTCCCCAGGTGTGCTAGGCATGTTCTGTGTGTGTCCTTGGCATGTTAGCCTGGCAACATCGGGGTGCATGTTCCATGTGTGGCACATTGGGCACACGTTGGAGGAGTGCCCTCATTGAGGCGGGCCTTGGCACACCCCCTGCCTCGTGGGCCCCTCCCCCAGGTGGTGGACATCATGAGGGTGAACGTGGACAAGGTCCTGGAAAGGGACCAGAAGCTATCGGAGCTGGACGACCGTGCGGATGCACTCCAGGCCGGGGCCTCCCAGTTCGAAACAAGTGCAGCCAAGCTCAAGCGCAAATACTGGTGGAAAAACCTCAAGGTAAGGGGTGGGGGCAGCAGGAAGGCGGTAGGACTGGTGGACAAGTGGGGATATCATGGTTTCCCATTCTGACCCCCTCTCTCACCCCCAGATGATGATCATCTTGGGAGTGATTTGCGCCATCATCCTCATCATCATCATCGGTGAGTGGCCAGGGCCCTTTCTCTGGAGAGGTAGCCCCTGTAGGTTCTGGGTTTCGAAGGTCATTAACCTAGTTTTCCCTCATCAGCAAAAAGTATATATAGCTGCTAGTGACGGTTTTGATACATCTAGACGCCAAAGCCTTGACGTGGAGTAGCCTGCCCTTGGCCTGATCTGGACAATTTCTGTTAAGGTTTTGGAAACAGGAAAGCTGGTAGGTCCACTGAGGACACTTTGGGTCTCAGAGCCCAGTATGGGAACGCTAGTACTGGGGAGTGGGAGACTGCCCCCCTCCCTGAATTCAGGGAGGGGGTATTGAGAGCTTTAGTCTCAGAGGACTAGGAACCTGTGGCCCAAAAGCCATGCCATGGAGGTGAAGGGGCCTTGGAAGCTCAACCCCTTGCCAGATGCAGAAACCGAGGCCAAGAGGGGAAGGGATGTCAGCCAGCTGGGGAGTGGGGAGGATTGGAGCAGGGCCAGGCCTGACACGCTGCTTTCTTTTTCTTTCTCTCTCCCCCCCCCACTTCCTCCTTCTCTTTCC